TAAGTTCAAATCCCAATTCCACCAGAGAGAGAGAGAGAGACAGAGAGAGAGAGACAGAGAGAGAGAGAGAGAGAGAGAGAGAGAGAGAGAGAGAGAGATTGATTATGTACAGGTACAAATTCCCTGTGGTAAATAGGAACGCTACGTACAACAGATATGAACTCATTTCAAAAAATAAATTTGTGAACAAATTTTAAAACACCCCCAGATTTGCTTTTCTGCTCTTCGGTGCAGAAAACTCAAGCTGTAAATCCAGCCAAACAAACAGACAAAAAAAAAAAAGGTGTGGGGGACGGGGAGGTGGCTCAGTGGAATAAGCGCTTCCCTGGCAAACACAAGGGTCTGAGTTCAATCCCTGGTTCTGAAAAAAAAAAGAAAAAAAAAAACAAAAAACAAAAAACAAAAAAAAAAACAAAACAACCTCCTACAGGGAGTGGTGATGAAGGCTAGAATTCTCTACACAAAGTGACTCAGCAGGCACTATTATAATAGTAAGGCTGGATACAGCCTAAATGTCCAACGATGCACCATGCCCCAATGAGGGAATGATATTCACCCTTTAAAAGAATTTAATGACCTGGGAAGACGCTTGCATCATATGTTAAGTGAAATAAAAAGGGGGGCACGTTACAAACTGGTGGGTAGGTTGTAAAGTCACTGATACGTGGACTATGCACCGGAAAAAGCTTCAGGAAAACACTCCAGAATGGCATGATGGGAGTCTTTCTCATATCTTTAACTAGACCTCCCTACTCTGTCCGTGGCCTTTCTTGGGAAAGCCACGGTGTACCTGCTTTGTTCTGTCACCCACATCTGCCTCCTGCCCTTGTCCCAAGCTGCACCCTCCGCCTGCAGCCAGCAGCCTCTTGCAGGTGCTCTGCCCGGCTGTCCACCCATCCGGGAAGCTGCTCCTCACAGCCAGGAAGTGGGAAGCCTTGCCCATCCCTTGTCAGCACGTACATGCTCGTGGGTGCAAGAAAATACCCTGGGGCTGGGGAGATAACTCAGTAGAGTAAGTGCTTGCCTGACAAGCACAGGATCCTGAGTTCAATCCCCAGTACTGCAAAAAAAAAAAAAAAAAAAAAAACCTGGGCCTCTTGGCTGGCCTCAACCCTGAAGGA